TAAAACTAAAAAAGTAAATAACAAATAGATTATAATTTAAAAATAAATAAATAAATAAATAAATAAATAATCCCATTCGATTTTAATAATACAAATTTCATCCCCCTGTTTTCATTCCCCTAAATAATTAAAAATAAAAAAAAATTTTAAAAAAATTTTATAATTAATAAACCCAATATAAAATTAAAAATATTAGTATTTAAAAATATTTTTTTTTTTTCAGATTTTTTTTTTGTACGAAAAAATCAATCAGTTAAAAAATTCAACAAAAATAATAAAAAAAATAATTGGGGGGGGGTATGGATGGGGGGATATTGTTGTTGCATTGTTGTTGTTTTTTTTCAATGGGGCCAAATGGGTAATAAAAAAAAAAAAAAAAAAAAAAAAAAAGTTGTGTTTTGGATGTTGATATGAGGGAAAATAAAAAAAACTCTTTACATATCGTAATATTTTTTTTTTTTTTTATTTTATTTTTTCAATAATTTTTTTTCTATTTTTTTTTAATTTTTTTAAAAATTTTTCACTAACCGACTTAAATTTTTTTATTGAACAATCAGGAAATAAAATAGTTTTTTTTAAAAAAAAAAACTTTAATTTGTAATATAAAATATAGTTAAAGTAGAATAATATATAAAATCGATAAATTTATATTTATATATCATCAAGTTATAATCAATTAAAAAAAAAATGAATTACAGAGGCCGATCCGAGTTTAGTTAGTTACAGTGACATCCATGGTGAATGGGAGTCACGTGAAATTTCAATTTTTGGTGTAGTAAAAAGTTTTATTTCAAATTTATCAATTGGTCAAGAATTAACAAAGTAAGTATAATAATAGTACCCCAACAACTTTTATTTTCACTTTTTTAAGTTTTTTTTGATAACTTTCAAAAAAAAAAAAAAATTAAAAAAAAAAAAAAAAAAAAAAAAAAAAATTTTATAATAATCACTAATATTTTATAACCTTATAATAATGTTTATTATAATATAGGGTCAGTATGCCATCAATCTTTTTGATGCCATATTCAATTTTAGAATTAGCTGCTTCAAGACATTTGAAATATATTCATCTTTTAATTTCAGCTCAACATGAAGAAGACCCATTAAAAAGAATGGCTATTGTCATTCAATACTTTTTCTCATGTGTCAGAGATGGCAATGTATGTTTAATTAACATATTATTAATAATGTATAAACTTTTAAAAATATAATAATAATATTAATAATTTTTATTTTCTATATAGTTCCAAAAAAAACCATATAATGCTTTATTAGGTGAAGTACATAAATGTTTTGTTAAATATCCATCATATGATGGCCAATCAACTTCATCAGCTTCATTCATAGCTGAACAAGTTACCCATCATCCACCACTTACAGCCTTTAATATCACAACTAGTGAGGGTATCACTTTAGATGTAAATATCATAGATTATTTATATAATAATAGATTTAATAGTAATATTAATAATTTACAAATTTTATTTAGTGTAATGTACAATTTTCAGCTAAATTCCATATGAATTCAGTATCAGTTGTCACTACTGGTGCTGTTAAAATTGTTGTTCCAGTTATTGTTGGTGATAAAGTTATCAAAGAAACTTATATTGTTGATAAAGGTTTACCAGATGCTTTGGTTAAAAATGTTATTTTTGGTACTAGATCAATTAATTGGACAGATTCAGTCGACATAATGTGCAAAGATACAAATACATCAGCTACAATTCACTTTGATAAAAATGTAATATTTTGGTTATTATTATAATTATATCTATCATCTTATTAATTTTTTATTATTTTTTTTTATAGGAACATGTTAAAGGTGATATTTACGTTTATAATACAGATTTAGAAGCTGAAGAACATAAAGCTTCAATGAAAGGTTATCTTTCAGATATTGTTAATATCGATTATTTAGAATCAAAATCAGAAGAAGCTTCATCTGCTTCAAGCAAAAAAGATAAAAAGAAAGAAAAGAAAGAAAAGAAATCAAAACACCACAAACATACCAGTGATCCAACTGACACAATTTTAATTGATACCAAAATCTTAGAAGCAAATAAAACTTTATATCCAAAATTAACTGATCATCTTACATCATTAGGGTAATTATTGTTATACTATTAGGTAGATTTCAAAAATCAATACTAACATTTCCAATTAATATTATAGCACTTGGAAAGAAGTTACCAAACATATTGTTGAAGGTGACATGCCAGGAGCTGATCATGCCAAAAAAGAAATTGAAGATGAACAAAGAAAGAGATTACATGCAACTAAAGAAGAAGAAAAGAAAGAAAGAAAATACTTTAAATTTAATGATGAAACAGAGATTTGGGAATTTATGGGCTGGGATGTTGTTAACAAGGCTGCTTCCGCCAAAGAATAAACCATTAAATATATACCAATAAATATTTATATAATTTTTAAAAAAAAAAAACAAAAAAAAAAAACAGTAGTATAATTTTTTTCATCAAAAAAAAAATATAAATCTTTCCAACAGATCAAACAACAACAACAATTAACAAATAATAACAAGTTACAATAAATATAAAAAATTAATATATACATTTTATATTATTCTTTCATATATATAAATAAAGTTATAATCCTAAAAAAAAAAAAAAAAAAAAAAAAAAGTTTAATTTTATATTGTGCTATATGCATTTATAATTTATTTATTGGGAGGCAGCAGTTTCTATTGGGGTGTTTAATAAGTTTTTTAATTCTTCAAAAGCAACATCAACGTGTTGAGCGTAGTTGATTAAGTCAGTATCAATATCTTTAAATTGGTTGGTGTCTGGGTGGTAAAATTCTCTGTATTGTATAAAAAAGAAAGTTAATTAATATTATATTTCAATATATCTATTATAAATGTGACGTTATAATAATAATTTGTTTGTTACCTTTTAAGTGAAATTAAAATTGTTTTGTTTTGATCAATTAATCTCATTTTGATAAAACCTCCTAATAATGTATATAAGAAAGAGTTTGAGGTACTGCCACCTGCACCACCATAGCTTACAACAAAAGCTGGTTTAGTAGTCCATTCTTTGAATAGATAATCGATGGCATTCTTCATGGCACCTGAAGTTGATCTATAATTAATATAGTGTATGGTAGAGATATTAGCAAAAGTTATTATAGTTCTTTGTATTTATTTAATAGTTACCCATTATAAGTTGGGGTTAAAAAGACGAATGAATCAATAGAGTCGATTTTTTTTGACCATGCAATAGTTTCTGGATAAACATATGGTTTAAGAGCTTTTGGTGGATGTGGTTCATTATACCAAGTTAATGGGTGATCTTTTAAATCAACGATTTCTACTTTTAAGTTATCTTCTGGTTTAATGTTTCTAGTCATTTGTCTAGATAACCAGTTGGCTATTTGAAAGCCAGCACGATTTTCTCTGGTTGAACCAATAATAATACCAATAGTTTTTTGAGCTGACATTATATTTATATTTTGGATTATGTTATATTAATATTAATATTTATGTGTGTGTTTTAAATTAGTATGATAAAAAAAAAATTAAAAATAACTTTTTTTTTTTTTTTTTTTTGGGGGTTGTAGTTTAAATAATTTAAATAAATGAAAATAAAAAAAAATAAAAATATTTATTTATTTTCAGAAAACGAAAAAAAAAAAAATAAAAAAAAACATTTCCAGAATAAATTAATAAAAAAAAAAACTAAAGAACGAAATTATTTCAAATTAAAAAAATATATGGGATTGGTTTAAATGTTCGAAAAAATAAAGTTAGATATTTTTTTTCTTTTTTATTTTTAGTTTTTTTTTTAGTTTTTTTATTTTAATATATTTAAAAATAAAAAAAATAAATTAAATTAAAATATTTTTTTTTTTGATTTATATTAATTTTTTTTTTTTTTTTTTGTATATTATTTTAATATATTTTAAAAAAAAAAAAAAAATATAGATATAAAAAATGACAATAACATTTCCCGTGTGTGAAAATGTAAAATTAGAAAAAGTAGAGGTCAAAAAATTTATTTGTAGCCCATTTGACTATGAAGAGTTTATTATATACAAAATAGATGACGAGGAAGATTCAAATAAAATATTATTAAAGTCAAGTTTAATGGAGGTTAAAGATCATTTCAATGTGGGAATCCATTCATTTGTTTTGTCATGTTTGAAGGCATATAATGAACACCACCATCTTACCATCAGACCAGACGATATATGGATGTGTATTGTATCGCAGTTTTCCCTGTATGCTAATAAATATTCAGATAAAATTAAACACAAGTTTGTTGACTCATTATTACAAGAAAAAAAAGAACTAGATATTAGTGTAGAAAATCCAATATTGAAAGCACCATTTGACCAATTAATTTTATTATTTATTGATAAAATAAAAGAAAATATTAAAGATCCATCTTTTGTGGATTGGATGATCCCCAAATTTTCAACAACAACCCATAATGATACACTTGCTTTTACAGCAGCATTAATGTCATCTATTACAAAGTATTTTAATTTTTCATTTAGTACTTATTGTGGACTTCCAAAGGTAACACTGCATGGAACGGTGGAGGATTGGGTAGATATTAAAAATAGAATTGAAAGGTTAAAAGAGTTTAATATCAGCGAGCCCGAACCAGATGACCAAAAAGAAACCAATTATATGAATAGATGGATAGAATTACTCCACCCAATCATTGATCAATTTATTGCAACTTCATCAGGTAATCCAGATAAAGAATGGTGGAACAAAATTATAAATTTACATCAACAGTCAGGAGGTGATATTATAACAGGTTGGGTGGGTTCATTTTGTGTGTTTGGTAAAGAGGGTCAATGGAATGCTAGTAGTCATATTATGTCTAGCACCCAATATCCAGAACCACGTGTATGTATTTCAGATATTCCATACGGATATACTTGCACACCAATTGTTTTAAAAGATGGTGATGGAGTACAGTACAACTCTGAACTCTATTCTGGCCATATAACAACAAAAATATTAAATGAAGGTACAAATTTAGAACCCTCAATTGATTGGATGCTTTATATAAAAAATAATAAAAAAATAAAAAAAAATATAAAAAATACAAAAAATAAAAAATACAAAAAATAAAATATATAAAATAAAAATAGAAATAAAAAAGTAATAATATTAAAGTTTATTTTATTATGGAAAAAATATTAAATTTTTAATTTAGTTTTTTTTTATTTTTTTTTTTTATTCTTATTTCAATTTATAATATTTTTATTAAAATACAGGTACTTATTTATTAATTGATGAACTTCTTTCTTAATAAAATGAAAAAAAAAATTTATTTGAAAATAAAAATAATTTTTAAAAAATAATTAAAAAAAAAAAAAAAAAAAAAAAAAAAAAGATTTTTAAATTTTTTAATTTTTTTTTTTTATTTATTTATAACAACACAAAGCAACAAACAATTATTTTTTAAAAAAAATGGAGGGGTAAATATAATTAATTCAAATTTAAAAAAAAAAAACAAATTGAAGATAAAGAAAAATTACTAACATTCAATTATTTTTAATATAATGTTAAGAGTTGGAAGAAATGAAATTTTAAATTGGATAAATGATTTATTACAATTAGATTATAAAAAAATTGAACAAATGGGTTCAGGTGCAGCTCTTTGTCAAATTATTGATGTTATTCATCCAGGAAGAATCAATTTAAAAATGGTAAATTTCAACGCAAAATATGACTATGAATATGTAAAGAATTTTTCATATTTACAAGAAGCATTTGCAAAAATTGGTATTGAAAAATATGTCGAGGTTTCAGAATTGGTAAAGTCAAGACCACAAGCCAACTTGGAATTTTGTCAATGGTTAAAGAAATATTTTGATCAATTTTATAATGGTGAGGCATATAATGCTTTGGAAAGAAGACAACAATTAAAAATTTTAACTGATAGAGATAAGGTATTATTAAAAGGTAAAGCTGGAACATCTTCAATTAAACCAGCCGCATCAAAACCAACAGCTTCAGCCACTAGCAAACCAGTTGCAGCAGCTACTAAACCAACTACTACAGCCGCAGCCAAACCAGCAGCACCAGCCACCAAACCAGTCGCTGCAAAACCAACACCAACCGCTACTAAACCAGCCACAACCAAACCAGCACCAGCACCAGCAACTGCAACTGTAAAAACAACAACAACACCTGTAAAAACAATACCAACTACTACCACCACCACAACTACTAAACCATTAGCTACACCTGCCAAAACTGGCAAACCAACACTTTCACAACCAACTTTTAAACCAACAACACCAAAACCAGTATCTCCAACACCACCAAGCCAACCAACACCAGCAACAGTCGAGTTACAAAAAGAAGTAGAAAGCTATAAAGCCCAAGTTCAAGAATTAAATGATAAGCTTCAAGCTTTATCCGATAGCATTAAAGAAATTGAATCTGATAGAGATTTTTATTTTGACAGATTAAGAGCCGCCGAAATCTTTTGTCAAGAGAACGAGGAACCAATATTAAAAAAGGTTTTATCAATTCTTTACAACACAGAAAGTACAGGTGAAGAAGGTGAGGAGGGTGAATCAATTGAAGGTGAGGAGAAATTAGAAGAAGAGGAAGAACAAGAGAATCATGAAAATAACAATGATACATTATCAGAACCAGAACCAGAACCAGAGATCGAAGAAGATATTACAAATGCAACTGAAAATTTAGCTATCAATGAAGAGCCAACAGATGAATTTATTGAAGAGGATCAACAACTAGAAGAGATTGAGCAAGAAGAAGAAGAAGAGGAAACTATTGATGGTATGAACGAAGATGATATTATGAATAAACTTCAAGAGGAGGATGAGGATGAAGAAGAAGGTGACCAAATGCTAAATACCACTTTTGATGCATCAAATGAACTAATTGCAGATGAACAAGAGGAATTTTAAATATTACAAAAAATAAAATTAAAATTAAAAATTAGAAATAAAAAAGTTAATTTTAATTAATTAACCCCTTATCCCTTTATAGACAAAAAAAAAAAAAAAAAAAAAAACCTATTTATAAAATTGTTAAATTATTTATTTGTTTATTTATTATTAAAAATAATAATTTATTATTTTAGGATAATAATCTTTTATTTTCATCATTTCCTTGTGTATTTTTTTGAATACCAACTACTTTGTTTGTAAAGCTGTATACCCAGAAGTTCCAGAAACCTTGGGATGGTGTGAGAATATTTTGTAAAATTAAAAGTGGGAAGAATGTGCAGGTTGAAAAGAATGAAATAAAGTGTTGAATTACATCTGGGAGCCAACAAATAATGAAAACAATAATGTAAAGAGTTAATCTTCTTGATATAGTCGAGTCTAATTGTTTTAAACGATCTAAATTTATAAAGAAGTAATTAAATAATAATTAGTATAAATTATAAAAAAAAAAAAAAAAAATACAAAATTTGTTATCTATCATACCATTAATTTGTAATCTATATTCGAATTTGCTTCTAAATAACTTTCTTAATCTAATATAGTAAATCGAACATACAACTAAACAAAGGAATAATGGTAAAAACCATAAACTAAATTCCATTGGTTTTTTAACTTCACACCAACCTGTAGGATCAATAACTATAGAGTTTGTTAATGTTATTACCAATGAAATCGTCAATGGTATACCCCATGATATAATATTAAAAATTGTAATTAAATATTTTCTGTGTAAATCAAAATTAAAAAAAATTAAAAAAATTAAAAAAAATAAAAAAATTAATATTTAAATCTTTAAAAATTTATATATTTTTAAAATAATAATAATAAAGTATAACTTACTCTTCACCTGGTGATGATAATTGATGATATAAATAATAGGATATACAAGTTGTCCAAAAGAAAGTTGAAAGGAAAAAGAATTGAATGATTGCTCTAAAAAGAATACATGGCGAAAAATGAATTTTACTTGAACCGGTATCATCTCTGCTGTATGATTCTGGGTTATTAATAAGATAGCTTTGTGAAATAATAATGAAAACCGATGTGAAAAAGTCTGCTACCGAAAGCATAAAAATTAAAAATGGTAATTTTGATTGTGGCTGTTTGAACTGGCCTGAGGTAATCAATGTTGTTCCCCCTGCGATCGTATTTTGTATCTGTTGCTCTCTAATCTTTACTTGTGATCTATAGGTTCTAACTTGTTTATATATATATGAAATTACGGTTAATGCACTACCAATCAAAGATAATGATGCTGTAACTATATTCAAAATATCAACTGATAAAAACTCTTTACCAGTTGGATTACAAATTGCAGTGTTTTGAATTCCCATTTTTATTTAAACTAAACTTTTTATTTTTTTTTATTTATTTATCTATTTATTTCTGTACAAAAATTATTATTATTTAAGTGTATTATCTATTTTACAAAGTGTGGGAAATTTTTTTTTGTTTTTTATTTTTTATTTTTATTTTATTTTATTTTTTAAATTTATTTATTTTATTTTATTATTAAAATGTTGTATTTATTAATTAGCTTTAAAAATTATAAATATATTATTATTTGATTGTCTCGAAATAAGTAAACACACATACACTCACAGCAGTGTGTATAAACTACTGTGAGGAAAAATAATTTTTTTAAAATACTGGTATCAAACCCATTTTTTTTTTTTTTTATTTTTTTTATTTTTTTAATTTTTTTTTTTAATTTTTTTTTTATTTTAGAATTTTATCAAGAAAAAATCAACACTTTTGTTAAAATAAAAAATTAAAATAAAATGTATAAAAAATATAAAAAAATATAAAAGTAGATTCATCCTTTGTGAAGTTTTTTTTTTATTTTTTTTATTTTTTTTATTTTTTATTTTTTATTTTTTGGGGGTCAAGTGTTTTTCTTTTTTTATTTTATTTGTGGTGGTGTGGGGTTTAAAAAAAAAAAAATGTTTGGATATGGAAGTTTCGATTTAGGAAATATTAAACAAAATTTAAAATTTACATTTAAGTTTAAATTAAAACTAGATTTAGCTACAAGTTAGAATTATAAATATTTTTTTATAAAAAACTTTTTTCTATACTTTTTTTTTTTAAAATTTTCTTTTATTTTTTCTTTTTCTTGTATCTAAATATATTTCATTTATCTTTATTTGTTTATTTATATTATATTAAAAGAAATTAAAATTGTAACAAAAAAAAAAAAAGGGTATTCAAAAAAAAAATATTTTTAAAAAAAAAATATGAACAGTTTATCTTTAACTCAGTTCATATCTAATATCCAAAAACATAAATGGTAAGTTTAATAAATAAATATTTAACTAAAAAATTTATATTAATTTTTTTTTAATTATTAGGGTAATATTTGAAAATGATTTAAGTATAGTCAAGGTTGGGTCAAAATTTGAAGATCTTTGTTCAAGTTTTAGAGTCAATTTATGTTTAAATATTTTAATCCAAGAGGCATCTTATAAACCAAAGATTTTACAAAAAGAAAATAACAAGGTTTTTATTGACCCAAATGAACAATCATTCATATTGGCTTATTATGAAGGCCCAAATTCAAAGCCATTTGAAAAGCTTCATTTTCAAGATTCATATTTTAATTTAGTTAAAATGTTATCCGTAAGTATTATTTTTTGTTTTAGAAAAAAAAAAAAAAAAATATTAATTATTTTTATTTTATTTATAGAACAAAATTAAAATTAAAAATGTTTTTTGTTTTTGTTTAAACTACAAAGATGAGTTTACATTCCAACAACATTTAAAGAAGTATTCATTTAAGCAAATGTTTCAAAATTTCAGGGACCACTCTCAAAAGAATGAAAAGAGTTTATCAGATTTATTAAAAAGTGTCAATTCCAACCAATGGGTATTATTTAAAACATCATCAAACTATTTAATCAACTATTGCATTGGTATCAATAATGGAGAATTAAAAGAAACAATGAAGCCCAACGAAACCAGTTTAATCGTTTTCAAAAAAAATGATAAAGATATTTTATTTATAATTTGTGAAGGTAATAAAACTAGAGCTATTGAAAAAAACAGATGTACTTTGTTATCTCACTTTTTATATTTAAATTTAAATGTAAGTTATTATTTTATATTTTCATTAAAAATTGTTTCATTACATTAATCTAATTTTTATTTTATTTATTTGCAGTCTGATTCAAAAAACAATGTTGAATTAGTAAGAATTACTTCACAGGACCAAATGAATCGTATAGAAGAAATTTTAAATTCAAGTTCATATCATGATGGATATAATAATATTTTTGGTGAAGAGAATATTGAAAAGCCTTTGGGTCGTGGTTCCTCTTCAGTTCCATTAATATCACCAGCTTATTCAGTTAAATCCTCAGCTGAAAATTCTCCTTCATTTTTTATCAAAAAAAGAGTATCACCCCATTCATCATCTCCAATGTTTGCACAAATCAATGGTTCACCAAGAGTAAGAACACCAAAATTAGAAAAAAAGGTTGCTAATGTTCCGATCCCAGCTTGCCCTGACCAAAAAACAAACAGTATTAATAATGATAATGGAGTAAATAATCAAAACAATAATAACAGTAATCAATCATCACCAAGTAATAATGAAAGGGAAGTTTTAATCAAATCAAATTCCATAGTTCTTCCACTAAGTCCAACAAGCAATATAGTTGAAAACTATAATAATCAAAGAGGTGATGAAATAAGCAAAATCAATGATGTCTTTTATATTGACCCAAAGAATATTTTCAATTCATTTGACGAATTTAACAAGAGAACAATTAATTGGATTTTACTTGGCTATGACGGTAAAAATTTAAGATTATATGCCAAAGGTAATAATGGTTTGCCAGAAATGAAAAAGCATCTTGATGAAAAGCTTACACTTTATGGAGTTGTAGGTATAACTTATTCAGACTCCAGAGTTCCAAAGATTTCAAATACTCCAAACACATCAAACCTTAGACCATCATCCCCAATCCCAGGATCCCAATACAAGTGTTTATTCATTCAATGGTTAGGTTTAAGATCAAGCGCAAAACAAAAAGCAATGAGAAACAGTCATTTCTGTGCAGTTTCATTATTATTTAAACAAAAGGTTTCAATCCATAGCGAATATGAAGTAGATGAAGTTGAGGATCTTTCAAATGATGCCGTTCTTCAAAAACTAATCACCTTCAGAGATGATATTAAATTTAAAGAAGTAGTAAATTGTTTACCCAGCTCAAACCAAATTACAGAAGCTGTAAAGGCATAAGCAATATAAAAAAAATTAAATAAAATGTTGTTATATTAAAAAAAAAATTATGTAAAAAAGTTTTTGTTTGTATTTATTTTATATTTTATCATCTTCATTTACAGTTCCGAAACTGTCATAATCTTCGTAGTCATCGTGGTGTTTTGAAATTTTATTTACAATGATGTCACTACTTGTTTCACTTGGTAATTTTGTAAAGTCTTTAATTTGTTTCATTAAAGTGGTGTAAGAAACTTGAGCAGCAATTAAAAGAAGTAGTAACCAAAAGACAACGGCAAAGAAAGGAATATATTTGAATGTAAAGAATGCTGCAGCTGTTGAAATAGACATTACAAATCTTGAGGCAGAGAATGCTGCTACATTATCTATTGGATATAGTGTGGCAACGGTTACAAAGATTAGAATGGTTTGCAATGAATCAAAACAACCATTAATAGCACTAATTACATAAAATAAAGGCATTTCTGAAAAATGGTATGCTACAAATGCTAAAACTAAACTGAGAATGTATAAACCTGCTAAAATATATTGCATTACAACTTTGCCTTTTGAGTCATGAACTTTGCCCCATAGTGAAGCACCAAGAACACTAACCACACCAAATACCAATGAAATAAAACCAACTCTTTCTATTCCAATTAAATTGTTTATAGTTTGGAAAAAATATGATTGTCTATTTTTAAAAAGAAATAATTAGATTGGATAATAATATTAGTTTAAATAAAATAGATAAAATTACATACGATTGACCTTGTAAAATAAATAATGGTATACATAGTTGAAACTTTTTATCTTTAAATACCAAAAAAGTGCTTATTAAGGTTTTTTTTAGGGATCTTTTTGGACCTTGTGTACTGGAATCTACATTTTTTAAAAATATTAATAGAGATGAACCAAATACTGTAACTGAACCAAGTGTACAAAGAATATATGTGGTTTGAATTTTTGCAGTTCTAAGACCACCACTTACTGCATTACCAATAATACCACCAGAAGAGTTTATAGCTTGAAAAATACCTGAATAAATACCAATTTCTTTTTCTCCTTGAAGTGATGAAGCTGCATTTTGTGATACATAAACTGGTTGTGCTGTCCAAAGTAAACCTGCTGCAAAACCTATAGCACATGATGCTGGTAAAAAGAGATATGATAATTTATCTATTGAACAAAATATAAATAATGCATAAACAAAACCTGATAGATATAATGATTTACTGGTAATAAAATAAAATCAGTAAATTTATTATAATTTGAAATATGCCAAGTTTTTTTTGTTGCCTTATAATTATACTTACATTAAACCAATTTTTTTAATTATTGAAGGTGCGATGAAACAACTGATTGAAAAAAATAAATAAATCAAGGTTAAACCAATGGACCCATCTTTTTCGTGAATATTTGTAATTAAGCTTTGGGTTGGGTTATATCCAAAAAATATAAATAAAAACCCTATTGCACAATGTATAGTATTCCATAGTCCTCTTGGTTTACTGTATATCCATGCTAAAATTTTATTTAAAAATATTGAAACTGAGTTATCTTGGTTAAAATAAAACTCTTTACTATTACTGTTATTGTTGCTATTATTATTATTTTTGTTGTTATAATCTGTATTTTCATTATTTATATTTATATTATAGTATTCTTTATTATTTTCATTTTCGTTTTCGTCTAAATAATGTTTATCTAAACTTATAAACGTTGATTCTTTTTCTATTAATGCTTCTTTATATATTTTTTTAGTGTTGTCATATTGGTCGATATCTTGTTGTGTTTGGGGAGATGTTATTATTATATTATTATCATTATTATTATCCCTGGCTGTTGTTGATGTTGTTGCTGATGATGCCCCATCAATATTTATATCATATTCATCAAATTCATCATATTCTTTATCCCCTAAAATCATTTTATTTAAAAATTATAATTTTATATATAAAAAAAAAAAAAAAAAAAAAAAACAATTGTGTTAAGAAATCGAAAAAAAAAAAAAATTAAAAAAAATATTTTTTTAATTTTTTTATTTTTTGTTTTTTTTTATTTTACCAGTGTGATTTATTTAAATTTAAATTTTATGGGAATTTAAATATATTTTGCATAAAAAGAAAAAATTGTTTTTAATAAAAAAAACAATAGATATATTTTTATTGTTTTTTTTTTTTTTTTTTTTTGAATTATAAATAAATAAATTTGGTTAGTATAATAAAACTATTTTAATTTCTTGATCTATCTTTAAGTGATCTCATTGAAACATTTCTTAAACCAATTCTTATATTGATTGTATTCTTTTTATATAATACCACTACTACTACAAGAACTATTGATACAACTACAACTGGAACGACAACTGCAACTATTATAACCCAATTCTTTTTATTACTGCAAGTATTTTTATTATTATTAATATAGTTTGGATCTATCAAAACTGAAAAGTCTAAAAAAAAAAAAACTATTAATATTTGAAAAAAAAAAAAAAAAATCATTTCTTTATAATACATACCGGGATCTAAAATACATTCTTTGCAATGTGGTAAATTAATTGTTAAGATGATGTTGCTGGTTGAATTGCTTTTAATTTTAGTTTCAATTGTTGTTTCTCTTCCATCTGAAAGCATTCTATCTAAGAAACGACCATAGAGTGTTTTTGAATCTTTAATAACTTTTAAATAATTTACACTATCTAACATTTGATCATTACTTGAGCTAGAATGTGTTGATTCATCGTGTGATATACATGGATCCTTATTCTTAAATTCTGTTGTTGTTGATATTTGAAGCTGGAGGGTATTTAGATTAGATTTGTATGTCCATTCTTTAATATCAATTGAAAATTTAGTACCACCACTGTTGATTGTAAAATTAACACCAGCAAAGCTAAAATCTTTCGAATTAGGAACCTGTTCAATTATTAAAGTGATGGTTGCATTGCTATTTTGTCTACTTTGTGAGTATACAGAGGTATATTTATTTGAGAGTTCTGAGTCAACTAAAGGAACCCATTTGTTTGTTAAATTCCAAACATCGACAACCCTATCCATAATGTCCACTTCGTTGATCGAGTCTATTGAGATGAGGAAATTAGATGCTTGACTAGAGAAATTAATTGAACCACTCTCAATAGTTGAGTTTAAAGATGTATCACCCCCACAATCAAGACCAACATAATTCTTTTTACAAGAGCATTGACCAAAAATACATGTACCGTGTTCTGGGCTTGTGCAGTTGTTTGGACATAACAATTCACCAATAAATGGATAAAATTTACCATGGAATTCCAATTTGTTTTGAGTTACTGTAATTTTTTGACTACCACTGCCTGGTTTAGCGGTACAAACAATAGTTGTATTATCGTAAGAAATAATGTCACAGACACTGTTTCCAACAGTAACGGTGATATGGTCATGGAGTGTACCAAACCATCCATAAAGGGTTATTTCGCCACCAGTTTTTGATGGTACTTGACTGGTAGAGGATATATAGTGGTTTGGAACCATACAAGTTGGATAACCTTCGATTGTGACCCAATCTTCATTACATATACATGTTGCATTGACAGTATTACAATAGCCATTACCACAGTCACCACATGAGTAGACGATATACTCGAGTTTGAAATCGGTTTTGGAGGTATTTAAAGTTTGTAAATCATTATTAAAGGATTTCTTTACAATTGCTGTTATTGGCCTAAATCCACGATCTCTAAGTTGCTTATCCAATACACAGTCAACCTGATAGAATGTAGTGTTTTCAATATGACATTTTTGATAATTATCGATTATGATGGTAGTGTCACTTGAATTGTATGTAAAATATTCACCAATGAATGATAGGGTATCGTTTTTTTGAATGATTTGATTGATGATTGGTGGTTGTGTTATTGATAATGATAGAGTATAAGTTAAATCTAATGATACAATGGTCAAGTTGAATTTTGATGGTGCACCTGAAAACGAACCACTTAATAAATTTCCATAACTTGTATATCCCCAGAAGTTAGCTGAGGGAGTCAACTTCATATTTGAAATATCATAACCTAGATTTTCACCCCAAATAGTAAAAGGAGTAGAAGCTATATTTGGCTTACTTGTATTGACAGATACATTAATATTTGGGATAATAGTTTCTAAATTAAAAAATAATAAATTAATATTATTTCAATAAACTAAAAAATAATTAGCTATTATACCTACTATAATTACAGTTTGTTCCTAAAGTATTGAAATTATCAAAGCTATTACCAGAGAATTTGTTATAAAATGAAGGAATGCCCAAATAGCAATAAAAGCAAAAAGGAAGAGCACCACTGAAGTTATTGTCAGTAATTGTAAAATCAACGCCATTACACCAACTATTATCAATAGCACCATTCATATTATTGCCAGATATGTCAAATCTAGCATTTTTAACTAAATACTTGTTTGTTGGAATATTACCCTCTATTCCACAATTTCTAAATTCCAAAATATCTAATTTCTTACTGGAATCGTTAAAAATTTTAAAATCTGGCAAGTTTTTAAAATTGGTTCCAAACATTGACCTATTAAATATATTTGTTACAATTAAATTAGAATTTTTTTATTTTTTTGTATTGAAAATAGTTAAATATACATACAATTGGAAATAAGAAAAACCGGTGGGGAATTTTGTGATTGGGAAATCACCATTAATACTAAAATCATCAGAAATAGAGGTTGTTCTTTAAAAATATATTACCATTAGTAATTATTAATAAAAAAATAATATTTTTTTAATACTTACATTCTAAATGGACCAACGGCACCTGTGTTTTTATATCCAGATAAATCGAGAAAGTTAGATGCTTTAAGGTTCATATTATTACCAAAATTCCTAATTTTAAAAATATAAGTAAGTGATTTATAAAAACTATATATAAAGTATTTTTTGATTTCACTTACAATGTTTGATATTTTTGATTTTCAAGTGTTTCTAAAAATTGAGGAAAATCATAATCAAATTTTTCTGAAGCAGCAAAGCTCACACTGTTACATTTTGTATAAAAAGATTTAAAATTTGGGAGGGTTGAAGAATCAAAACCTGGTACTTGAATTTTAAAAGTACAGGTCATTAATGATTTGAAATTTGTTAAATCAGGAACCACTGAACCTCTAATATTAAAGCTGGATAGCAAACTATCTGATTGATCTTCAGTTACAACAATGCCAAACCCAGTACCCTCATTATCGTTATTCGTACTATTATTGAGGGAATATAAATTAGCATTAAAAACACTCTATAATAATATACACAGTAATAAATATAACTACTTACAAATCGGTGACTTTTTTTAAATAATTTGCATTAACTACTGAGTTCAAAGAATTAATAACTAAATTAGAGATTGGACCAGTTTGTTTATCAATAGAGTTTATATTTGTTCCTAAAAGAGTTACTCTGGCCATTTGTTTATTAATTTTTGATAAGAAATCTGCTTCGAGACTAGCTGGTGAAATAAAAATAGTATTTAAATATTGAAAACAACTAAAATCAGACCAATATAAAGTTTGCTTTACTGTACTTGAATCTTGAATGGACCTTTTATAATTATAATTAGAAAATTTTTTTTTTTTTTTTTTTTTTTTTTTTTTTACTTACACAGAATAAAGAGAGCCATTTGAATAACAATTAAAATTAGATAAACCTGATGTACAGTAGTTTTCTTTTGTTTTGCCAGTATATGTACTATCTAATACTTTCGATAAAACATTTTGTAAACATTCATTATCCGCTGGGAAGGGTAACAAAATTAATTTTAAAAAAAAATTCGGATTAACGCGTTGAATTTAAAAAAATTTAAAAAAAAAAAAATATTTACCGCTATTTAAAACTTGGCAATTTATATAATATATATTAAATAATAAAACAAATAACAAAGTAATTTTAGACATATTTTAATTTTTTTTATCTTTTGAATAATTTTGTGAAAGGTATAAATAAAAAAATAAAAAAATTATATTTTTAAAATCAAAATATGTTCTATTTTGGGTTGAAAGTAAAAAAAAATTTAAAAATTTTTAAGAAAAAATATAATAAATTTTGTAAATTCGGTTTTTACAAAAATTATGCATAATTTTTAATTTTTTATCAAAAAAAATATGGAAATGTCAAAAATTTCTTGTGTCAAATTATTTGAAATAATCATTTAAGAAAAATAAAAAATATCATTATGTTATAAAAAAAAAAATAAAAAAAAATAAAAAAAAATAAAAAAAAATAAAAAAAAATGGTTTGGTTAAACTGTAAAACGTAATTATAAAAATATTATAAATAAAAATTTTATTATTTTTAGAATTTAGACCAAAGAAAAACCATCACCACCTTCATTTATTGCCAATTTTAAATTTTTTGAAGATAAACAATTTAATGGAATATCTAATCTGTTGAAACAAGTATGAGAGATTGGTAGTCTATTGGTACCATTATCGATAGGTGGTGTAAGGTTGATGGTGAAGTGTGGGCACAATTGATAGAAACCACCCAATGGAACAGAGGAAGAGCCAGTTACAAATTTGATTAAAGACTTCTTTTCCTCTTCGTTAAATTCATTGACTATTGACCAGAAATCATTGATAAATGATTGTGTATAGAAACCTGTAAATGATGAGTGTTCTTTTAAATCGTCCAAATTAATTTGTTCTCTACCACAAATTAGCATCTCCAACTCTTTCCAATTTAAAACTGAGAGAATGGATTGTGGAATCATTTGAAATAAACCTTCTCTAAATTCATCTACTTGACTTTTAATACTTGAATATAATAAACTATTTACCCATAATTCTAAATATTCTACTTTATTTTCATCATTTACACTAATTAAATTGCCAAATGGTTTTAAATTTATGGTTTTCATTAATTGAATTGTATGAATATTATTATTATTATTGTTTTTGAATTTATTTGAAATATTATTAAATTCATTTTGGTTATAAATTTCTCTAATGAATGTTAAAGGTTCGCCTAATATTTCATTTACTTGATCCATTGGGGTATTTAAAATTAATTTAACCTTGTTATTGTATAAATCTGGGTCTATTAGTTCCAAGTCGTCTATTGATAGTTTTTCACCTAAAATTAATTTATAAAATACTGGTGTAAATCTTAAAGAAAAGTGTCTATCCGCTTTAGTTACACTATCAATAATAGATTTACCAGTAATTCTACCTAAAACTCTAAAAATTGATTTGTAATCTGGTATTAAATTTGAAAATGGTGATGGATGGAACTTTCTTGTGCCTTCATATTCGCTGAATAAATAATAACCATTGATTGGAGTACGTGCTAATTCTTCAGAGAAATTTGAAAACCATTCTTTTGATATGCCACCAATGTCAATACCCTCTTCATCGTGAAATTTAACAAATAATCTTGACATATTCAAATCCGATGGATCAATTTGACCAAGAATTTGAATAGATTCTTTTAATATTTGTTTTCTTGTTGAAATGTTTATTTTAAGAGTGATCATTTTCTTTTGAATCTTTGAAAGGGTATTTTTGAGCCATTTAACTTTTGAGTCAAAATTGGGTTCACACTGATAACCAAAGAAATAATAACTTGTTAAAAGAATTAAAAAAACTTGATCTATTATTGAACTTTTTAAATAAACAACAGATTTATTATCTTGAATAATTAATTCATTCTCATTATTTGATAATAAAATTTGTACTGTTGGGTTTATTATAAATTCATATAATTTGATATTCATAAAATAATAGTTTTCAAATATTTCTATTTTCTGTATAAAAAAAATAATTTGAATATACTGTTTTCTTTAAAGATTATAATTTTTTATAAATATCGTTAAACTTACATTTTGAGTTAAAACTAATGAAACATTAATTGGCTTTCCATTTCTTTCTAATTGGCAATTAAAACTTGCTTTAAAGTTAATATAATAATTTGATAATGCTTGAAAGTCTTTTTCTTTAATGGTTGCTAAAACAAATGGACAGTTTGTAATTGGTTCATCATTTACCTTTACACAAAAGTAATACCATCCAACTTCATTAAGATCATTAAATTTAACAACTATTTTACCATCATTTGATATACTAGTTTGTGGAAAAATTTCAATTAAATCTTTATCATTGTTTATATTATAATTTTGATGTTGTGGATCGTTTGGTGGTTGTTGTGTTTGTTCGAGCTGCTTTTGTAACTGTTGGCTTTTAATTTGCTTGTGCTTTAATTTTATACTATCTATATTTTTTTTATTAAATCTTCTAATGGTTTGTGGTGAGTTTGATGATGATTCTTCGGGAATATTAGATGACTCTTCACTATTATTGTTTGGTTTTTTAATATTATTATTGGCATTATTACTATTATTATTTTTTAATATTAATGGTGATAATGATTTTTTTAAATAATATTTGAAATCGTTTAGATTTGGTGTTGTTTTATTACCATAGGAGTCTTTGGATTCAATTAAAAACTTAAATTCGGGTAGTTCATTTTCTGGGTCATTTTCTTTTAAGATAAATAGTTTATTTTCAGATATTAATTCTTTACCATCCCAAAACAAGTGCGTAAATTTATTCGAAACTGGTCCTGGGCTTACGGTTAGATTTTTGCTAAATACTTGAATACCTGCAATTGAACCTTCCAATATATAATCACCGCTTTTTAGTAATTTAAACTTGCATAGAATTGTTGATTCAAAATCCTGTAAACTACTCCCATTGCTGGTGTGAGACTGATATGAATTATTGCTTGTAATAATTTCGGACTGTATATTAATATTTGTTCTTTTTAAAATTCCATTTTCTTTTATAAAAATTTGAAAATCTACTTTATCGTTTATCAAATGAGATGCAACTCTGGTTGGTGATACTTCGCAAACAATTTGTTTACCAACCTCTAATACACCGCTATTGTTATAATTATTACTATTATTATCTATATTACTTTTATTATTTATATTTAACTCGTCTTTGCTATTTATATTGTCGCTATTGCTATTACTTAAATATTTATTTATAAAATTGAATGATTCATTTTTAATATGTACTGAATATGGGATTGGTAAAATTGAAACCTTAAATGGGCTATTGACTACAGGAACTTGATTTACGAAGACTGAAATTAAATAGCTACCGCTTTTTGAAACATTATAATAAACCAAATGACATCCATTTAATCGGTCTACAATACGCACTTTTACTTGTTCATCCATATTGTTGTAATCGCAACCTTGAATAAATACTGATATAACATCACCACCTTGTTTTTTTCTTAAACCATTTTTATGAAAAGATGTTACTTGAAACGAAAAATCATCACCTACATCACCTATTTCCCCTGAAATACCATTTCCTGAAACAATTGAATTTAATCCGCAACCAATTTTATCGTTTGATAAATTTTTAATATTATCCTTGACTCTTGAAATTAAATATCCCTCATTTCCATTATAGTTGTTTAGTGATGGTAAAATTGGTGTATTATTATTAATGTTAATTGATTGTGATAATAAAGATGAACTATTTAAATTATTTATTATTAAATTCATTTGATTATTACTATTAATACTATTACTAATATTATTATTATTATTATGATAAATATTATTTTTATTATTATTATTTAAACCAAAAACATTTAAATTAAACATATTTTTTAATAATTTTATTATTGTTATTAAAATTAAAAATATAAATAAAAAAAATATTATATTTTGATTTATTAAAGTAATGTTATAAAGATTAATACTACTATTGTTTTTGATGATATCGTTATTGTTTTTGATTTGGTTATTGTTATTATAATTGTTAATATTGGGGTTATTAGGATTCAAAGAGCTGCTATTGTTATGATTTGAATATGTGCTGATTGAAACAATATCACTATAATTTTTAATTTTATTACTAATAAAAATATTTTCAAAACTCCATAAAAAATTTATATTGTTATTGTTTTCTATATTATGATAAATATTATTATTATTATTACAACTGATACTAGTCCCCTTTTCACCCATCAAATTTGAAATTTTGAAGAGGTTGTAAAACTAAACATTTTAATTATAATATTTTTTTTAAATATTTATATTAAAAAAAAAAAAATGTTAATAATGGAAATTATAATTAAAAAAATATATAAAGATTTATTATTAAAATTTTATTTTAATAGAAAAAACTATTTAGTTTATGTGGAACAAAAAAAATAAAAATAACCCCACACCTTAACCCACAAAGAGGGTATAATTTGTTTTTAATATAATATGTGTATGTGTTTTTTATTTTTATGGGTGGGTGAACATATTTACATTAGCTTTTTTTAGAGGGAAAGATAAATAAAAAAATGTGGGTCGAATAAATTATTAAAGAGTTTTTTTTTTTGTTTTTTTTTTTTTTTTTTGAATTAAATGGGGTTATGCCAAGGTGTGTGTGTGGGTCAAATCTGTGTGATATTATTTTTTATATACAAGTTCTGAATTATTTTATTTATTAAAAAAAGATCTAATCTGTGTGTTTTTTTGTGTTCATTTAAATCTGTCTTTTTTTATAAGGTGATTTTTTTGTTTATATTTTTTACTCTATATGTAGAATTAAACATTACTAAAGTTTAAGTTTTAATCTATAGTTATCTTTAATTATTGTAAAAAAAGATTTTCTATATCCAAAAAAAAATAAAAATTGGTGAAAATCACAATTGAAACAATATAATTTATAATGCACTTAATTATTTTTTTTTATGATTGTGATTATTATTAATATTATTAGAATTATTTTTATATAAAAAAAAAATGATTA